TTGCTTGAAGTTATGTGAAAACCAGAGTTTCCTTGAATCCTATTTCTTTCCTAGACTAGACTTAGAATAGCTGGACGTCTTTTATACCAGGTTTCTGTGTAACATGCCCCACGTGCACTTCATATACGCTGAGCTTTAAAATACAATACGCTGCAAAGTTTCAAAGTCAGACTTTTCCTTATCAGTTTTTCAAAAATCGAATCAGCCCAGTTTTAATCATAAAATTAACCCAATTTCCGTTTTTATCATAAAATTAACCCGAATTAACCCATTTTCTTATCCCCAGTAACGACATGATCTACCAATATGTGTCATATTAGAATTCTACTAGCCATCGAGAACTGGCTGTTCTTGTATGCGTATTAAATTCTCTAAGTATAGTATGCCAGTTCTACATCCTTCATAATAAATATAAATACCAAGATATGACGAATCTGTTAAAAAAATATAGAAGCATATCTAAGCCCCTACGAATTAAGAATTTGGTTTTCACACTATTTAGTTTTCCTATAAATCTTAAAAATAAATTTTATAAATCCTGTCTTCACTTAAAGTAAAATTGTCGATTTTTCAGGAAGACTTTCAGTACAATAAAACTCGTGAAAACTTTTCCATTGCTGTTCGACATTTTTGCTGTTTTTGGAGTTTTTTTTACACTCCCTTTAATTTAATCTACTATTGAGTTCGTTAAAATTATGTAAGTCACACTTTTGCCCGCTTTCCGCTCGACCCAGTTCCTTAGTTCTCAGGTTCCCTCCTTCTTCTGACGTAATGCACATACATCGTACCCTGACCACGTTCGCAAAAAATCTCTCATAAACTAGCCGGTTCCATATTAGTATGTTAACAGACAACGCGTACATTGTTTCCTGTTGGGCTGAAAGAGCTGCAACTATGCCAACAATATTGCTTGCATTGCATTCATTTCGGAGAGACGGAATTACTGACGCGAATTTTCTCCTGTTCATGCACGCGTGCCCACATCACATACATATACGCAAATATATGTAACTGTCCTGATTTCCTAGTAACTTCATTCTCCTATAGCTGGAAGTTCAGTTATTTGCCGTCGTTGGATCGAATTTCATGGTTTGCACACATGTGTGTACGTGAGTGTGACCTGGTAAGGACGCCAACTTTTTGTCTCTCCAACCAACTCTTTAGAAACTCCACGATGGATTTAAATATCGCGTGCTGTTTCATTGTTACACAGTATACACGATGGTCTGGCGGCTTAATGAGGGAGCGCTGACGGCGCTGACTCGGAACATTGTACGTGTGCTGCATTGTATGTGTTCTTTTTCTTCTTTTTTCACCTTATGGACCAAGTGATCAAGTTCTCGTTGGTGCATGCATATAACTTCTGGCGATGAATAAGTGTGGCTCTTAATTAATGCTAGAAGCGTATCAACTAGAAATACCTCGATATTGAATCAGTGACTTTCTTTGACAAAGAGAGTACTTTCATTTTGTTCTTCGTTTCTTCAATTATCTTATTACAGCAGAACAATTTTTACACAACAACTTTTAAAGGGGAATATGGGCTTTTTTTCTTTTCGTTAGCACTATGTGTGATCAATAATATCCTTATAATGAAATAAGCATTATAACTGTGAATAAATAACAACACATTCGGGGTAACTGCCATGACAATGTTATTCCCAAATATTTCCACTTTTTGTAAGAGCATATCAAACTTCCCAAGATCATACACAGAAAAGCCGAGGAGTGTCTTGCAAAATTGGTTATTGCGCACACATAAATCAGAAGCACCGAAATAGGCGTGACTCGGTCGTTTGTTTGTTTCTCCTCTTCGACCGGATGGAAACAGTATTGCACACGTGTATACCAACACAACCCGCACGCGCTATACCCTTGATAAAGTGCAATTTATAACGTCGATAAGTCGCGCTTGGGGATATTAATTGTCTGTTTTTGCGATTGCATTGGCGTTTTCTCTCTGTTATGGTTTTTCGATCGATCAAAAACATCAGATGGTTCTGGCAGACACGTAGAATTGGAGTTGACAAAAATAGTCTACTGTTATTTTTATGAGATCATAGATGACGAGCCAGTTTTTTTTTTCGATTACTGTAGTGTACTAAGATCTATGGTACTTTTGGTTTGAAAAAATTAAGTTTTGGTATAACTTAATGTTAATAAAGTGTTTGTTAATTTTTAAGGTGAGGTTTGTAACGAACAAAATGGCTCACGCATTTTTTGGTCATCATAGTTTACTATCAATAGAAAACACCGCAAAACACTTTGGAACTCATTTACAAGGACGATGTTATATTGTGTTTCACACCGTCCTACTTCTAATACACTGAAAAAAAAAATATATATATATATATAAAACTGAGATGTTAACTCAAATATTTTGGGAGGAATGACTTGGTTCATGATGTTGACTTTCAAGAAACAAGTTTTCAAATAAGAAAAAGGTTGGCTGATGCTTTAAAGTAGGAGAATGTGTTAATTACTAATTTTACTATAGTAATTAAAAATGTGAAAGTGTAAATAATAATAAAGATCAGACTCTAGTGGAAAGAGTTATTTTCCTAAACAATTATATTAATTACTAGTATCTACATTTGACAAAATTTATAAGCAACATTATCACTTTCATAACTGCTCATTATTTTAATAGCATTGATTGATTGATTGATTGAACTTTATTGAGGCCTTGTGGTTATTTTGGTGCCATTTTTTAACAATTAACTACATTTAAAAAAACTCTCTGTTTTTAGATTTGTAGATGTAATTTCCATTAATTTCCACTTGGAGGTAGTTTTTAAAACAATTGTGTCATGCTATACACGGTATCAGTATATTATAGTCACACTTACTACATTTATACCTATTTTGTAATAGATAAAAAAAACGTCTGTTGTTTTTAATGACAACAAATAAATTTTTAAAATTGGACGATCTTCATTGCTTCCTTTAATCTGTACCTCACTTATTTTGAAAAAGTAACCGTCTCAAGCTTGTGTAGATGTTGTTTACATGGGATTCTAACCTGACAATAGCAATTTTACGAGAATTATTATTATTTGTAACTAACACACCGTAAGTTTATAACCATGATTAACTTATTATTTAATAAACTACTGCATGCTGCACACACTTTTGGCAGTTTTGTACAACAACTATTATTACAGACAATACCTATAGCCCAACGCCTATTACACCTATTACACCTGTGAGCTGTGGCAGTGGTTGGGGCGCTCCGACCATTGCAACCGCCATAAACGAATTAATTTATAGATCGTCTAAGGGAGGAAAAATATAGAAACTTTTAGATAACAAGTAGATGGTGTAAAAAAAGACAAGAATAGGAATCGAGAGGAGGAAGACAGACGGGGAGCCATAAACTAGACGTCGTCGTCAGAGAACTGAGAGGATGTTCACCCTTGTGCAATGTAGAGTAATTTTACGGTAAGAGGGTGTAATGAAGGATTCAAGTGGGTGAGGGCTAAGGGCACAATGTTAATTGAAGCTATTTCCAGCAGCTGTGCCAATAGTCCGGATTAACGGCGTAATTGTACTTCGACGACCTAGGATTTCGAGACGCAGAAAAGTGACAAATTTTTTGTTGTTGAAGATACTATGAAAAACATGTATGTACAAGCTGTTAGGAGCAATAACAATTAGGACGCGGAGCAGTTGAAACACAGTCGAGATAGTCAAGTTAGCGGAAGAAGAGACGAGACCAAACGAACGCCATGCATAATACAGCGGGGCGAGAGAAGCTAGGTACTTACATAATTCAAACGTCCGGCCGGCCAGCTATAGTGGGTGATGAAGTCGTCGGTCGGTAGCCCCCACTTCCCTTGGCGTCGTCCTCTCTGCTCTATATACTCTTTCGCTCGGCAGCTCATTGTGTTTTCACCCATACGCTCTTAACGAGAGAGAGAGAGAGAGAGAGTCAGCAAACACCGGCGTGCGTTGTCCGTCGCCGGAGGCCCGCGGATCGAAACGCGTGCTCCTTCTCGTCCTCCTACTCTTTTGTATACGCTGCTGTATTGTACTGCGTGGAGCCGCCGCCCTTTCCCTTCGACTCGTCTACGCGGAGTAATGACGCAACGAGGTTTATACCGGGCGTTCGTTGCTTGCCTGCCGGCCGGCTTCTTTCTCTACATGTCTTCATGTCTCGTGCACGAATAATTCTCGTCGTCTAATTGTTTTGCTGCCACCGGCGCGTGTTGATTTCCTTTTTCTCTTTCTCTCTCATCTTTCTTTCATTGGAACGTTTTTACTACCGCATTGGCTCGCTGCGTGTGGCCTAACGACATTTTAGAGGTTACGTTCAAAGTGCTTCCAAGTTGGGGATGATGGATGTTTGATTTAGGTGCGTTAGATGGTTTTTTTTTTTTTTTTTTTTTTTACAGAGTCCAATTGATGAGATCAACTTTGTCCTCTAATGGTTTGGTATGATGAGCCCGACAACTAAAATTAGTTGCAATAATAGGTTTTCTAGTGAAAACAATATGAGGAAGTAGTAGGGTATCTTTTACAAAAGATGGTATGATTTTCAATGCATTAACTAGGAACTACTTATAGGACGCTAGTTATGAATTTATTGAAATTAATGGTAACTACGTAGTTGTGATTGAAATAATTATGTAGCACCGATCTCGGGGGGTAGGAACAGTCTTTATGGGGAAAAAAATGTGAATAGCAATAACGAGTAAAACAAAATTTGCAGTTGTGTCGCAGATTGATATATTTTGTATGGATACTTTTCATTTTAGAAAAAAGAGCTATACGAATCAAACTATAAAATTTAATTTCAGTTTTATGTAAGTAAACCAGTGTTATTAATAAAAATTTACACATGTCTATCCAAAATTACGATGTACTTTATTAACAATGTTGATCAAAGCATGCTGAAATCAAATCTTTCTCAACTCTCGTAAAAAACGAGAAGTAAAATTATTTAAAAAATGTATTACGTGATAACAGTGAATTAATGAAACTTTTGTCTATTTGTGCAGGTCGGGCCGTTAATGCCTGATGGCGCGCGCTGGCACGCAGCGCTGGAGGAATCCCGCTCCAGAGTAAGTACCGCAAATTTTCATATATTATCATCACTTACTACATCATCTTTTATAAAAATCATCCTTTTTCATCGTAAATGCACAAGAGTGCAAAATGTGGCAACGCAAATGCTCCTTCCTCACGATGTATCTAGCCGAGAAAATCACAAAAAAAAGCCAACTAACTCTACCGCCGAAAAAAATCCATCGAGAGCTTTTCACGACATTTTCCAAGCCATTTACGTACAGCGTTCTCCGAATCCCAAGCTCCAGAGCTTGCGATAAGGGTGTGGTGTTTTTTTTTCTCAGAGATGTTTCGACCTTCCCAAAACTTAAAGCCACTTCGTCCCATCAAACGACAAAACTCTGGTCACGTTCAATTTAGCCCGAGAAAAATATCAAGCCCCTCCTTGAGTGAGCGCTTTCTCGACGGGCCCTCGAGATATTTGCATCCCACGCGGGGCGTCGGTGGCCTTTTGAACTCTGGCCCTCGCAAGCACAGTCGTCGCGTCGTCACCCGAAAACTCGAGGCCCTCGAGTACTCGCTACCTCCGCTTCGCTGAAAATTCGGAAGAACGAAAAAAACGACCACACGCAGAAGTGGACTCGCATGCAGTGTATGAAGAGGGACAGAGGCTGAGGTGCCAAGACGAGAGCTTTATATTTTGCTTCTTTTTCGCTCTCCGGTACACATACAATACACCGTGGTTCGGTACAAAGGAATCTCCGTACTACGATAAAAGCATCAAATTAACAGCTCAAAAGCGCGGACTCTCGTCGGGATGGATAATCCAGCGGCGGAACGTTCGATCGCAGGACTCTTTACCCCTCGAGGATTCTCGTGCCGCGAGAGTGGGCCGAGCTTTTTCTCTCTTTTTATTTCCTCCAGTTTCCAGAGAGGCGAGCGAGTTTTTCTCCGCGTACTTGAAATTCGCACCTGCGGAAATTACGCCTCGCTTACCACGTTCGCGTCGAGAAGGGAATGAAATTAGGCCGACGAGCCGGGGCGCGTATGGTTTTTTTCTCTCCCCGCGAAACCCTCGTCGCCGCGCCACCAGCGAACTGTATAATTTATACTTTTGATTAAATTCGGGAAAAGCATAATTTTAACCGTGGAGCGGTGTAGGTGTCGTTTTGACCGTAATTGGAAAATTTTTCTTTATCGAATGTGCTCGTTAGTGACTTTTGATCGTAAGAGTCATGCTACACAGGAACAACTTTTTAATACCACGTGAATCTAATGCACGTTTGTTACGATAATTTTTTATTTTCAAGCAAGCACTAATCAATAAGTTTTACCCACAAACCAATAAATGTACAGTATGGTTTTGTATTAATGTTTACGATAAATTACAAACCATTTATCGTATATTTCTGCATTTACATGAATTACTTAACTTAATTTTTTATATAATCTTCAGAAACTATGAATGAGTTTTTTAGAAAAATTATTCCAAAAATCAAACATAATTATATTATTACTATTATGATAAAATAAACCGTGAATACAGTAAATTTCAAATCTACATGTTGATTTATGGACACGATATAAATAATTGTATCAACGAATTGCGTCATTCATCACAGTAGATCAGTTTTACACGCCACGCTCGCGTGCGGGGAACTAATTTGCATAACGCAAATGTTATTCATCACCATTAGTTATACGTTTTAGATACGGTGGTTGGATATGCATACAACATTCAGTGCTGTAAGATAATAAAAAACCAGTAATTAATAACTTTCAAGTGGCAGACAACATCAATCATCGCATTCTTTTCACTTATCTGCACACCTAACCGATTGCACCAATATCGATTTATATACAAGATGTATACTATTCGTTTTCAAAAATCACTTGAGCTTATAGTTTTTTTTATCGCACACTCGCGTTTGTGCAAATAAGTGCCAGTATCGTATTGCCACATCTCCAGTGGAGCTTCAAAGTAATGAAAAAGTCCGAAAAGGCGGTGACATTCCTAAAGACTCTTTGGAATACGTAGAAAAATGAATCCACTTTGCCACAAGATCAAAGTACCACAAAACAGCTAAATGCCGTCAAGTGGTCCTGTTCATCCGGTAACTTTTTAGCGTCTACCGTATCGCACAAACATTCAACTCCGCGAAGCTACCGAGGCCTCTTTCATTGACGAGCGGTAAATTAAACGTCAAGGCATTGATTTTTCCCTGCACGGGAGTCGCTTTTTACACCCGTCTGTGCATGCGCTAGGAATTTTTTTTTCCTTCGCTCTCGTGTCGCGTGTCGAGGTAACGTTTGCGCCCGTATGTATACTTAGGTGGGAGTAACGCGAGCTTCACGACCGCTGTTTTTTTGCCGTAATTCGAGGGTATTAGTTTCTATTTTAGCTCCTGCTGCTCGTGGGATATTTTATTTTCATAACGTGGGTGAACGGACTCCTCTTTCGTGCGAATGCTTTCATAATTGCATGAACCTTCTTTTTTGGTCTGCATCAACGGTTTTTGCATCAGTTTAACCTCACGGGGATGGGGAAATTGATGGCTTTTCGATGGCGGGATCGTCAACCTCCATATACACGTTCTTCGAGTCGGAGAGAATTAATCGTTTCGTCAAACATTTATTTATAGAATTTACGGGCCAGAGGCCCAATTACAAATTTTATAACAAAATAAGTGTATTTGTCGAGCGCAGCACACGTTAACTATATTTACAAGGGATGTGTTGTATCAACTATGAATAAACTATGATACAAAACAAATTACGTCATCGAATACATCATGAGTAAATGTATACAAACGAAAATTATTTTAGGCAACTTATACAGAGTATAAAATTAAGTATCTGTACCGTGGTCTACATAAATGTGTAGTGTACAAGAAAAGTGTTGAATTACTTGAATTACTTATTTTAATATATTATTTATTTTTATTACACTTGTAAGGATTATAATATTTTTAATAAATTATTAAAAAAAGTATATTGCTTACTAAAATACATTGAGATATAATAACAATTTTTCAACAACTTCACATTAAATATGTGAGCAAAACCAATAACTAATAATTCAAAAAACTAATAGTCAAAAAATGTTATACAATTAATACAATGACCTTTGTACTAGAAACATGGATTTGTTTCCGAATTCCACGAGTTTTGGGAGCAAAAGTATCAATTACAGGATAGAAAAAAACGTCTTAGAAGGTGGGAACTGAAAGAATTTTATTTGTCCATCAACAGACACCCCAATGCGTGCAATATACAATACATTCAAACATGTTAATCATCATAAAAACTCCCCCCCCCCCCGGGCACGTCAAAAATCAAGAACCAGCCCATGTGTCATCCCGTCAAAGTAAAAAATCCCCTCGTTAAGCGCGTCTTGACGGGAGAGCCCAGTTTAAAAACCCAAAAGTAAAAACAAACACGAGCGAGCAAACACGATCTTTGAATCGAAAAGAGGGGGGAAACGCACAGAAACGTCCTGCCCCATCTCCTTCGTGTTCCAATCCTTGTATTTAAGAAGGAAAAGTTGGTGCCGTAGCGCACCCTCTCCAACCCCCCTGTGCACACACGATGGGCAGGAAACGTTTTCAGCGCCGAGCAAACGGAGGATCAAGTGGTCAGGAAATTCGACGTGTAATTCGTAGAGGCTGTACGCCTGTGCGCGCACACACACAAACATACGTATATGTATATCCGTACACCCACACACTACCCACTTATGGCTTAGCCTCCGAATGGAATACTGCCTCGCGCAAATTGCAGGGAAAAGCAATACCAGCGTACGTCCGTAACGCCCTCCCCCACCTATCCTCCTTCCCACACCCACTCGCCTCGAGTTCAGGGAAATAAGGCATCGCCCGCGGGCTTACGTTTGCCAGGGAATCAGAAAATCCGCAAATAGAGAGGGTGCAGGATTAAGGGTGTGTGCGGGGGAGCTTGCAATATGTATAGAAGGCCTTGGGGGGGGGGGGTGTACGGACTGCTTCTATGGAAATGAAGGTCGCGAGCAGATGCGAAACACTTCGTGAATTTCGAGAGTTGAGGCTGGAAAATGTATACGTACAATACGCGCGTGGGTGTGTACGTCGAACGCCCTTTACGTTGGTGCTTGTCTTCCGTGGACTAATGAGGAGTCCCGAACGCAACAAGCTTGCATTGGTATATAAAATGTCAGATCAAAAAGTTGTACGAGAAAATTTGTTTTTTATTCAATAATGTGACATTGATGGTGATACTTTTCCCTTGGATGAAACTTGCTGGGTTGAAAATCCAAACCTTGATATAAACATTTGACAAACAATAGGCGTCGAAGTAATGTTCGGTTCCAACCATCCGAGATTCAACAAAAAAAAACTTTTACAACTACACCTACCACGAAGCCTTTTTCTTAACCCTGTATCTATCTATTCGCTCTTCAACCCTATAGCGAGATAACAGAAACAAAAAAAAGCAAAACAAAACAAAAACTCGTTAAGGTTCGGAGGTAGAGCGAGAAACATGCGCGGGCGTGACGTGGACGGGCTTCTTTCATAATTAATAGAAAACGCAAGAGGTGAGCTGGGTAGGTACGTCGTTCGTGCAGCACGAAAGGGATACGCCGGTGTGCACTTACAATTAGTGATGGACAAACGAAAAGAAAAGTACAGTAAAAAAAGGACATACATGCGTTTGTACGTGTGGTCTACGTAAGGATACTTCTTTTTTCTCTTATGACACAAAATATTCGAAAGGGACATTAATTGGCAGTTTGGGTGAATTCCGGAGGAGGAAATGGCTATTATGCTGTACTATTTCATAATTTTATGAGTGTGTAAATAGTACCCATGTAACTGGTAAATTAATTCAACGTCCCTTGTCGTTGCACTCCGATATAAATATATTGATATGAGCTTTGAAAGTGTATAAAACTGTAAAAGCTTAGCTCTACATTATTAGTCAAGGCAGAAAATTGCCAACGAATTTTGGAATTATATTTTTGCTCACCTCGACCCGAAGTACAGACTCTACGAGGCATACCGTGAGATGCACGACTAGCTCC